AATACTGTCTCCGCTGGGTGTTGACTTCATTGTATGTATATATGTATACCCGTATACATACATATGTCATATCCGAAACTGCCCACATATGTTTATATATGTATGAGTCCCGACGGACGACCAAGTATGTATATGTGTCTGCATACATCGATGTTTGCGTTAGTACGATGACATAAGCGACGAAGTTTCCCCCACCACTTCCACAATAACACCAATACATGCAATCTACATAAACCCAAATTTAAAAAAAAATTAATCAGTTTGTCTGACGATCGCTAAAGCGTGAAACACATGGTCACAAACTCACATCTATCCAACCAAATATATATATATATATATATATATATGCCGACAACTCTTTTTTCGTAACACATCCTTACGTTAGGGCAGCTAATCAATTCCTGTTACAAGACATATGCTCAGGTAATTTTTTTTATTCAACCTTCACAGTCCATCTGAAGTTTATACAGCAACTCTAATGAGCAGGCCATGGTGAAAGTTTCTGCGGAAGCAGTTTAAATAACAGTATGCTCAAACACTTAATGACGATGACATAAGATCTCGTGAATATTCGGGCCGGGAGACAAAAATTAATAAATATACTGCTTCATATATTAAAGGAAGTAGCATCTACTCAAATACAATTGTCCCCATAAAATAAGTTTTAAACTGATATATATATATATATATATACATCAAACATTTATCTATCTCTATTTCTCAAATGTATTTATTTATTCTCGTTCTAATATATATATATATATATATATATATATATATATATATATATATATATATATATGACCTTTCTAATACACACATTCTTTAACTTATTTCCTATCTTGCAATCCGTCCTCTAAATTTGGAAGCCATATAAGGTATCAGTATGTAATTATGTGAAAATATTACATTAAATCAAGTCAGTAAGACTTGAGTAATTCACGCAGTCTTCACTGTTTAAGTGGAAACTCTTTTTTCCGGCTTCTGGTTTACAGGTCACACTTACTGAAAACCTTTTGATCTGAAAATAATTGGCTTTTTAAAATTAGATATTTGATTGAAATCGGGAATCTAAAGAAGGGGAAAAGAAAAAAAAAGTTGATGTAATTTTTGTTATATTGTTAAAACGTATAATGTGTAATTCTAGTTACGAATGTCTATCCTGTATTTTGAAGTCCATTCTTAATAAGGTTGTTAGGATCTGTTAGGCAACGTATTGTAAATGGTGTTTTGAAACGAATCTCAATTTCCACAATCCTGCTGTGACGTCTTCTATACAAATATGAATGATGAGCAAGGACATTTCTCAATTGATATATGTGACCGCAAAGAGAATGTGGTTTAAGAGCATGTTGACAAGAAGATATTATTCCGCTTAAGTCAATAGAAAAAAAAAAAACGTTATTCCATGTGTAGTACGTAGATTACTATTCCCATGTATCGTGTAGTTAAATAATTTATATATATATATATATATATATGTGTGTGTGTGTGTGTGTATAAAATATATAGTAAATAGCAAAGAACTCGTTAGGCAAATAATCCAAAGTTCTTTAGTATTTTTGTTATTTTTTTAAAATAGTGCTCGATACAAAAGTAGAGCATAAATATAATTATTTATTTAAAATATGATTCCAACGCTACATAAGAGTTCTCATGTTTCAAAACAAGAGGCGAAAACTTTTAATATAATTATATGAATTAAAATTGAATTAAAGTACTAAACTCTGTTTCATCTTCAAGCGAAATTTAAAAAAAATAAATAATTATGTATATATATATGTATGTATATATATATATTTGTGTGTGTGTGTTTTTGTGTGTTGTGTATGTTTATATATATAAATATATATATACATAGTGTGTATATATATATATAAATGGTGCATTAGTAAATATGTATACTAAGAACCCGAAGTGTTCCGGTTTTGCATATTTTGCATGTGAAAGTTGCTGTATTTAACCAACTGTTCTGAAAATTGAGTTTTATATTCTATTTTGTGCTAAATAACACATAGAGAAAGCTAAGAAATGGATGATAAATATTCAAAATTGACGGGTATAAGAATAATTTTGTCGTCGACTGTATGTATATGTATACTGGATGCATGCATATATATATATATATATATATATATATATATATATATTGGATGATATATATGCAGTCCACATCATGATGTTTGGATTGATCACTAGTGATGGTGATGTTATACCTCCATTAATCTTCCCACAGACTCAACACGGAGGCCTACATCATATGCAACAGGGCTTTGCACCAAGCCACACAAGCAGGGGGTCCCATTCATGGCTGACAATTTATGCGACCCCACCACCTTAACACAGGCCACCTAGCAGCCCAAACTGCATCATGATTATTATATGTTTGGCGTAATTGAGCGAGAGACGAACAAAATTCCTTGTAACACCAAAGATGAACTGAAGGCAAGTATTAGGGCAGCATTCACCAATTTAAAACAAGGAGACCGTCCAGAAAAGTGGCAGGAGATTCCAATCTAATCTGAAACCGTAGTTGAAACCCATGACGATTTTATTGGATAAATTTACTACTTCAATATGATTTTGTTATTTTGTTATATATATATCTGTTAAAATATCTGTTTTTTATTTGTTCGTGATTGAGACGACAGATTTTCAATCACACCTGTATATATTTGCACACGCACACACATATACATGTATGTATTTTTTGTAAAAATTTTTTAAAATAAGAACTAATGCGGCAGAAATTTATAGAAACAAGGATCTTTTCATTCATAACGGGTTCGGAGGTTTTTGTATATTATTTGAATTGTTTGCGACGATGGATTTCTCGCCAATTAAATCATTAACCTTTGCATTTGTTTTTGTGTGAATAATTCATGAATTTGTAAATTGATTGCGTTTATCGAAATTTATATATATATATATATATATATATATATGTGTGTGTCATTTTGTGTATATGTACCTCTCGCTTGTACATTGCATATATGTCGTTGTATATACACATATATATATATATATATATATATATATATATATATATATATATATATATATGTGTGTTTTGTGTGTGTGTGTGTTCATATATATATATATATATATATATATACACACACATTTCATAGATAGATAGATAGATAATATTAGTGGTAAATATACACATACATATGCAATCATATATCTAGAATTTATAAATATATACATACATACATACATACACATACATATATATTTGTATAAAAATAATTCCAAGAGTATAGAATCAGGTAGAACTCAATGTCCAGGGCAGAGTAAGGATATAATAAAAAGGCTTAAACACTAATATTCCATGGTCATAATTTATTCCATTGGAATCGTAAATACGATCAATTCATCATACCCTACAAATATATATATATATATATATATATATTTATTTTGTTCAAGTCATTTTCATTTCATTGTTCTCCTTCTGATATTTGTCACCAAATCAACAGAAAGAAACACAAGTTAGCCCTGCTGTTCAACTCAGTTTGGGCGAAAGATATGATGGATTCATATATTTTGTAAGAGAATTTTTACAAGAATAATTAACTCGGTCGTAATTCGAACTTGCCTCGCCTACTTCTCATTCTGAGTTGCTGAACGTTTAATTACCCTTTACATCGAAAAAGCAAAATATGTGTACCTTGTTTTTCCACGTGTTCTTATCCATAAGGGACGCTATTAATAATAATACTAAAACAATAACGAATGAACGATTTGACTGTGAACGGGCTACCATCGCAGTCACGATAAACAAATGGATTCATGATTGATTTGAAAATTATCAGTGCAATCAAGCTCAACGATTCTGTTCTCGAACTATGAGACTATTACTTCAATCCCCAACCTCAGTTTTCTCTTTATGTGATATACAGATTGTGTCAGCGGTTAAAATTAAAAATCAAAATGCTGAATTCGAATTCTAATTGAGTTCGTTATAATCACTTACTCTCAAATATACTTGGAAAAGGCATGAATCAATCTTCTCCCTGCAGCTATAGGTTAAATAGTAGAAGAATCATTGCTATTTTCCCTCGAAAATAGCTAATGCAATATTCGCTCACAAAAAAGAAGTATTCTTACAATTCAAAATGTTTTGAGGGTTGATAAGCCGTAAAGAACCAAGCTGTTCATATCAGCTGTTCATATCTATTTGAGATGCTACCGAAAAGTTCGGGGATTTAACTATGAAAAATTACCTAATTTTCACCGTTCTCTCACTTAATTGCTGTTTTCTCTTTGGTTCCCAACTGGTATTACTCACAAAGGTAAGCGGCAAATGTCTATAAATACATTCAACTCAGGTGCACTGTGAAAAATTCTACGAAATCTTGGGCTATATCTTTTATATACATTCACGAATGAAATTAAAACATTGAGGTTAGGCAATGATATTTTCCAAATTGAGAAACATGCGCCATATTGCTTTAAGAATAGAAAAAAAATCCCCCAAGTATAATTATTTTAGTCCTGAGGTTTTGTATACGTCATATTAAAATATAAAGCGCTCCAGGGAATATTTAATATTTTAGTATTACTCCGGGAATTAAGCATTCAAGTTAGAATGAAATTATTTTTCTGGTTTTATGCTTTTTGACTTGAGTCTTTAAACCTTTTAACCAAAAACTGCTGCCATGGTCACTGATGTGTGAGACAGACTTTGCTTCCAAATACTGTTATAAACAACGAAAATAAACAGGAACGTTATAAATGTGTGTGTATGCGCGGTTGAGTTCAAATTCAATCTGTGTCAAGCGTCTTCACCATAACAATAGTCCCGATACTTTTGATCAGACTTCGTATATGCTCAATAATCTTTATGTAATTTCCATTAATACCCCATTCGCGTAGTAATATAAAGACAGCTAAGTTTTCTAACGAGTCAAATATTTTTTTCATTGTTAACTAGAGCCATACAAAAGTGGTCTCACTTTTTTTTTTTTCATAAGTTGTTTTATTGTTTGTAGAAGATGGTCTATTTTAACATCCTCATCACTGTTCGCGTAGATGATTTTTTTTCGTCTTAGTTTGTAAGCGATTTTGACAATTGTTTCATGTTCGATAGTAATGAGATTGGGTCGTTGCTACCTCCTTTTTTTAATAAAGTTAAATTACTATTTCTAAACTGAACTATTGAGGAACTTTTATTTGCCGTATAAACTGGGCAAATAGATGTGTTAATTGAATTCTTGTCCCGCATTATTCAAAATGTTTGTTACTATTCGCTTGATGTATTCCCACGTTTCACATTTTGAAACGCAAACATTATTTCATTTTTTGTTACTTTTGTACCAAGCGTAACTATTGGAGTCGTGAGGGAGTACTGGAATTTTATTTTGGAATCATTAGAGGTTTTGTCTGGTCTTCTTATGTCATACTTAACGTCTTCTCTTTATCTTTGGTAAAATCCACGTTTTTGACTTTCATTACAAGTATTTATTGTTTAACTGTGTGCTACAAATCGAACATGTTTCAAGCCCCTTCCCTTTCTAAAAGCTTTTTCTTCTCTTTTAATGTTCATCTTTCTTTTCTCTCTCTCTTTCTCTCTCTTTCTCTCTCTCTCTTTCGTTCTTTTGTTGGTTAGTTTAATTCTTTTCTTTTGATATATTTCTCGTTTAGTTTGTCTTTTCACCATTCCTCGTGTTGGCTTTGAGGGCTTTTGGTTTTCTCCCTTTGCCTGTTATCTCTGCTGCTTCCTTAATTATATATAGTTAGCCCAATTGCTATTTATATCTTCGATGTTATTTCCATTATCCTACAAAGCCTAGAACCTGTTTTCAATCCCTGGCCGAAATTCAGTATGTAGTATGACCCAAGAATAGACATTGCACGCAATTCACACCACACGATCAAAGAAGCCGGGTGAATCAAGGTGTTAACCTAGAGTCAGTCCCCGTCACCGTATGCTGAAGCATCCGGTTTGTAAGCGTGTGAAAGATTTGGAATAAAGGCAGTTATATAAACAGTTGCTCCGGAAAAGAGGGAGAAGGCTCGAGTAGTCTATTTACACACCTTGGTTGCTTCACATATCCGACAAAGTGACACAGTTCGCACCGCAGACTGACCAAGAGTAAATGACGAAAAATTGGAGTAAATGAAATGTTAAGCAATGAGGATTAAAGTAGCAGTTATCATTTTGCCTGCACAGCCAATGCATTAAAAGTAATATTCTCTTTTTTTCTCTCTCTCTTTTTTTGTTTTTCTCTTTTGAATCAAAAGTAAAATCGCCCGCGGCAAGCCACATTCTATGATTATTTTAAATTTAAAATAAAAATCTATCTATCTATCTATCTTCATATCTATTTATCTATTTATGCATCTGTCCCAGTCTATTCATATCTATCTATCTATCTATCTTCATATCTATTTATGCATCTGTCCCAGTCTATTCATATCTATCTATCTATCTATCTATATATCTATTTATTTATGCATCTGTCCCAGTCTATTCATATCTATCTATCTATCTATCTATTTATCTATTTATGCATCTGTCCCAGTCTATTCATATCTATCTATCTATCTATCTTCATATCTATTTATCTATTTATGCATCTGTCCCAGTCTATTCATATCTATCTATCTATCTATCTTCATATCTATTTATCTATTTATGCATCTGTCCCAGTCTATTCATATCTATCTATCTATCTATCTATCTTCATATCTATTTATCTATTTATGCATCTGTCCCAGTCTATTCATATCTATCTATCTATCTATCTATCTTCATATCTATTTATCTATTTATGCATCTGTCCCTATTCTATCTATCTATCTATCTATCTATCTATCTATCTTCATATCTATTTATCTATTTATGCATCTGTCCCAGTCTATTCATATCTATCTATCTATCTATCTTCATCTATCTATTTATCTATTTATGCATCTGTCCCAGTCTATTCATATCTATCTATCTATCTATCTAAGTCTAAGTCTATCTATCATATCTATCTATCTATCTATCTATCTATCTATCTATCTATCTATCTAAGTCACATATCTATCTATCTATCTATTTATCCATCTTTCTAAGTCCATTCATATCTATCTATCTCAGTCTATTCATATCTATATATCTATTTATCATATTTGTCTCAGTCTATTCATATCTGCCAAAACCAAGGCTCAATCAGCCTCGGCTTCGCCAGTCAAGAAGCCTGAAGAAAATACCACAAGAAGCCTTCCTCCTTCCCCCCCTGAAAAAACCGCTGTTCCCCATTCGCAATACACCTCCTCATCAAACAGCCCCCCTCCCACTACCACTGCAGCCGATTATATTTCTACTCCTTTCAACACCCCACTTTCCAAATCCCCAAAGCCCAACACCTCCCAGCAGAGTTATTCTTCTCGTAAGAAGAAATTCCCGAGTGGGGTAATGTCTTGCTGTGTGGACAAGCAGTCAATAGAAGCGGGCATATCGAAGCAAAAAAGAGCTTTGTTGAAGCCCTTGTTAAAGATGGCGTCAATAGATGGACTTGCTACAGGTGATCCCCGAAATTTCCCAAGGCCGCTGGCGTAATAACATGGATAAAGAGCACAGGCCGAAATCTAATAATGTGGGATCACCTTCACGAAACGAAGGATGCCTTTCCGGAGATCCGTATGGCAGAAATAGGAACACCGGAACTGAGAAAGCTACAGAAATATTGTGCAGGAGGATCCCAGTAATCCTCCATCCTTCATTATACAGGATATTAAAACTGACGTACCCCTCGGATGTTGGCAATTTTGTCCTAGATGGTCGTATGACGACAGAGATGGGAGCCTGGGACAATCCATCGGGGTCCTTTCATCCGCAAATTTCCGTCCAGTCTGTGAATAGGGGAATCAACTTGAAAATGTCTCTCAAGATAGCTAGTTTGAATGCGATGGGCTTGTGGGATCGGGTAAGGCCGCCCGCCTGCTTCGTGATCTCTTGTCGTTCGGTGTAGATGTAGCTGCGATGCAGGAGACGCACTTTGCTTGCGAGGTTGATGCGCGTGTGCTGCTGTCTAGCGACTATGTTGTCTATTCAGCATACGTGGACCAGCCGGCCAGAGGTGTTTCCTTGCTGGTTAAACGTACCTTGGATGCGAGGGTGAACCTTATCCACGTCGATGCGGGGGGTGGGCGGTTATTGTGGCAGATATTGCTGGGAACAGTAGTTCGTTTCGGATCGTTGCGGTTTATGCACCCAAATATCAGGGGGAGCGTGTCTCGTATTTTCGGCAGTTGGGTCCGTTCCTAGTCGATTCTTCGAGCTTAGTCTTAGTGGGGGACTGGAATGCCATCCTGGACCCCAAGATAGACAGGGGGCGGGGAGCTAGCGGGAGGTCATTGGGTGATCGTAGCCTGGTTAATCTGATCGACGAGTTCGGTCTCGTCGATGGATACCGAGTCGATCACCCCGGGCGAGAGATGTCGACGTAGACTCGTAAGTGGCCGTCTAACCAAGTGGCCAGCTACCTGGAAAGAATGATAGTGAGAAGGGCCGATGTATACCTGCTAGATTGTCCAACGTTCCACTGGTTATGCTATTCGGACCATAGACTCGTCTGTCCCCGGATAGCGTTAGATTCTAGGCCTAGAATTGCTGGAAACTGGAAGTTCAATCTGTCTTTACTGGACAGGCGGGACTAATTAAAGTAGTGCAGCGGGAACTAGTGGGGCGGTTATTGGGAATAGGTGGTGGGAGAGGCTTAAGGATAGGATTAGGTCCTTCGCCACCGAATATAGCCAGCGGCTCACACTAGATAAGGCTAAAAAGGTGAAGACACTTAAAGTCTGTCCTGGCTGGAGGGGGGGGGGCTCTCTAGAGATAGGCTTAGCTAAGTAGGTCGTGGAGCGCGCAGCTAGCGAGAGCTACCAGGGTCAGGTAGTTAGGCATAGGTTAAACAAGATGTCTAATGAAGCCGTGAACATGGGCGCACAATTGCGCAAGGAAGAGATCCGTCGAGGTTCCGATCGTTACATTCGTGAAGTGAAAACCCCGGTGGGGCGTACTCTGAGGTCGACTGACGATATGTGCGAGGCGTTTTGGCGGCATTTCGAGATCCGGTTTACCAAGGAGCATGATGGGTTTCGCAGCTATTTGGCTGACTTTCTTGGCTTTCGCCGACTGAAGCGGCTAGCTGCGTGGGTGAGATCACGGACGGCGAAGTCTACTTGGCATTGAAGAAGGCCGGCAGTGTCCGGGATGGTTTACCCTATGAATTGTACTTGAGGCTGTCGCACATCTTTGTGCCGATTTTGACTGTCGTGTTCAACAAATGGTTCCGGCAGGGGTCCATCCCCAGTCGGATCACCAGGGGTGTGATCACGCTGTTGAAAAAGGATGGTGGGCGGGATTTAGACGATTACAGGCCCATAACTCTGCTAAACACAGAGTTAAAGATTTTGGCCAAGATTCTGACGGAGCGTTTGCAGTCAGTTGCCAAGAGTCTGTTGGGACCCGATCAGATTTGTGCTGTGAGAGACCGAACAATTCAGAGCAACCTGCATCTGATCTGCACGATCCAAGAGGGTGTAAAAGACGACGAGCAATAAGCGCTGATCAATTTGGATCAGTCCAAGGCATTTCATAGGGTCGACCATCGGTATCTGGCTGCTGTCCTGCAGGCCGCCCATTTCCATCCCGACTTCTGCAAGTGGATTAGCCTCCTGTATCGCTCCCCCAGTGCTGTGGTACAGATGAACAGAAAGCGGTCGCGCGTTTTTGCGCTGTCTCAGTCGGTACGTCAGGGTTGCCCACTGTCGCCACTACTTTACGCTTTGGCGTTGGAGCCTCTCCTTCGCCGGCTGAGGGACGGAGCGTGCAGTCCGGCCCTACATGGAATCGCCGTCCCTGGTGAGGCTCGACCCAAGTTTTCCGCGTGCCGCAGAGACATTGAGGTGGTACAGAAGGCGCTTGAACGATACGAAATGATTACAGGGGCCAAGATTAGCCGTAACAAGTCTTCCGGCTTGCGGTTAGGTGCCTGGGAGGGGGTCTCTCTTCCGGGACCCTTCAGTTGGACGGACGGTCCTGTCTGGATTCTCGGAGTGTGGTTTGGACCCGACGTCCAGTTGGAGAAACATTGGTCAGAAGTACAGGCAAAGGTCAGATTCCGTCGGTCCGACTTGGCTCGACGGAGGTTGTCCTTCAAGGGTAGAGCGGAGGCGTTTGCCACCCCGTCTTTCCTCTCGTTCTTTACCGTTTGTCCGTACTTCCTCTTTGCAAGGACCATAGGAAGGCGATCGAGCGATTGTTGTCCACCCTTTTGTTGGGTGGGCGCAAGCAGAAGGTCCGAAAGACGAGTCTGTGCCCAACGTCTGGCGGGGGGGGTTGCCGCAATTGGTTAGTCATCGACACGCCTCGAGGTTGGCTTTCCTACGCCGTGTTTTGACTGAAGATTCGATTTTGGAGGGGAGTGTTAGAGACGCCTTCCCTAGCCTTACTATCACTCCCCCCATTTCTTGAGCTAAGCGCTGTCGTAAACCCTGGGAACAATCGACTTTCCTTCGCGAGTGTCGGTCGCCCTTGAGGGCTTTTCCTCTGTCCAGTGACCTTTCACGGCCTCGAAGGTCTTGTATCGTGAATTAGTGGAGGGGTCGCGAAGGACCGTCTCTGAGATACGCTCGGCTTGTCGGTGGACGAGTTGCACTATTTCTGGTCTTGCGCGCCAGCGGTGGATTACCTCAGTAACCCTTTTCGCTTACCTGGCGATTGATCCAGAATCGTGCCAACTCTCAACGACATGGCCTTCAGATGAGGATGGGCACCGGTAACTGTCGGGCAAATCCGCCAGACAGTTAACGGTGCGGCCTTGGTTTAGAGGAAAACGGCTGCGCACGCCTTCTACCATTGTCCCCGGTCCGCCCTTTCTGGGACTATGTCGGCGAGCTGACGGAATGGTGATTTGGACGACGCGGAAGGAGGAAGTCTTGCGAGGTGACCGTCTTTCTCATCAGGATCTGATCCGATTCTTTGAGCATCAGCTCAAGATGAAGATTAGAACTGATAGAAAACGATTGCATTCGACAGTCTTTAGCGAAAGGTGGGTAAAAGAGGCGAGCTTGGTTCGTGTGACCGGGGCTAGCCTTGATTTTTCTCTTTTAGGTCAAACCTATGGCACATCAGGGTGGTTTCCTGTGGAACCCTCCCTTGGTTAGGTTAGAAAAGCTTCAGTGTACCTAGTTAATGTGAGTAAATGTTGGTCCTGGCCTGTATCCCGCTGCTCTTTGGTTATGATCCAAGTCGAGATTCCCAACCTCCCAGTTTGTTTTTTGGCCCCCTTTTTCATCTCGACTGGGGTCAGCTTTTATACTTTCCCACTCCCGCATAATATTTTATCCTTTTCCCACCTCCTTAGCGAGAGCGCCTCTTGATTCTCTCCTCTAGGCAGAATACAGCGGCCCTCTGTTTTTTTTTTTTTTTTTTTTTTTTTTTTGAGGGTTGGACGGTCCCTACTAACATCAGTTATATTTAGTTTGCATTTTTGTTTTGATTTTAGTTTATTATTGGGTTCATCCCCCCTCCCCTCTCATTTTATCACTATTAGAATTTTAGGTATATTGTATATCTTCATCAAATTTTTATGGCGTGGGGCGCGTTTTTGTAGGTTCCCCTGGAGAGGATGTGGTATTATGTTGGATGGCGGATTGAACGGTGATTGATGAGTTCTTGTGGTGAATGAGTAAATTGTAATGTATGAATGGGTCGTGAATCTGATTAGCTAGGTATAAGATAGTTAGTGTTGACCAGCCTCTACCCTTCCCATTTTTGGCCTTGTGCCACAATTTGTACTTTTTGTACGAATAAATATCGTAAAATAAGAACTTAGTGGGATACACGACATAACAATGGCGTCGCCGATAGGATACTCTTTGGTCCTTGAAGACCCAGAATACATAGACACGTGGATTCGTTGCTTTGCTGCTAATGCTAGATGTAAAAAGTTGAAAGACAACAAAAACAGAGGAGGGGAAAATGAAATCACCGACTTGTTCATGTCTACCGCTGGTTGTGAAGCGATTATGAAGGTTGCTACAATGGTTTACCCTCGAGAACTAGA